CACCCCACATGAACTTCAAAGTAAGAGCACCATAACAGATCACCTATAAATCAGTTCATACATTAATATTGCAGCAAAATGCTGTTTTCAGTTCAATATTTGTTCATATTTAGCAGTCAAAAAATGGCCGGATGGTGTTTGATGCAGCTGTGAAAGGTAGCAGTTAGGCTACAATCCATTTTCCTAACACTGTACAGATCTACTGAGGATTTTTATTACTGAAGCCAAATCCAGAATGTTTAAGGAACATTTTAAACATCGAGAACTATAAGAACTCATCTGTCCTTTTAATGACAAGACTTCATAAGTTCTAATATCTTTATATAGAGATTATTTCACAAAGTGGTGTGTGTGTGTGAGAGATGGGGGTATTAAGCTCCAACATTTTGTTTCAGCTCTATTTGTATGATATCAGATTTTACAACAGTCTAACTGCTGTCACTTTATCCTGTTCTGACATTCATTAACCTTTACAGTGCTGCAGGTGTCATAAGTAAGAACCCTAATATTTCCAATGAGCTAAATGGCAAACAGTAATTACCAGAATGAGGGTTATGAATAATAGAAAGCAGGATTTGAAATGGTAAAAATCAACGAGAGTCAAAAAATAGTACAAATAACAACCAATGATAAGCTTTTCGCTACCACGCTGTGTGGGGGCATGGAGTATTCGACACTAATCCTGACCATCTGTGATCTTCTCCAAAATTAGAACAATCCAGGCAACACTTTAAAGTGAATGAAATGTCCCTGTGTCACCTTTCTGCACTGCAGCAACTGTTTTTCTTTGCTTGGTGACCTGAGGGCCTGATTGGTAGTGAAACCTGTTAACTGGCACACGGTGAGAGCAAAGATTGATGGTTTAGGTGATAAATAAATGTCTGATGGATTTTAGCCTACTGCTCCTAATGTCCCTCGGTGTTACCTGGTTAATGGTGATTCAGAGATGGAGAAAAACAGAAAGATCAGAGAAAACATTTGGCATGATCTACACTTTGCTCTGTGAAAACAGAAACCGTGAGCTAGCAGATGTACTTGCTGACTGGTGATCTGGAGGAGCTGCAGCATGCTGTGGCCTCCAATACCCTCTAAATGCACCGTTTGTTCTCAGATTTCACAAAGGAGTCAATGCGTTGCTTTATTCCAGTCTGTCTGCAAAGTGCCTGGCTAATAGGACTTTAGGGAAACGTCTGGAACACATAATTGCTCTGGAACCATTATTCCCAACACTCCCAAGTCAAACTATTTGTAAATTCAGCACAACGTTCTGTGGGCGCCAGTAGCCAAAAGTGTTCACTTACTTTTTGATGTATATACAGATCATTTTGTTGGTACAGAAAACTATATACTTTAAATACCACAGGCGATCCCAGAAGAAGGGCCTGGAACATTCGGATGTTTTCCTCTGTGGTCAGATCAGTGACGTTATGTTAGCCTCAAGTCTTCTCTGTTACAGAGAAAGAACAGTCTTGAACAAAAACAGATCCACTTTATGAAACAAAGATAGATCATCGCATTGATTCATGCTGGAGTAGAAGAATCCATTCATCCAACAGCCTTTGATGAGACTGAGAACTAGCATTTTATCTTTCACATCTCAAACTGCCAAAGACTAAAATAAGTTTAAGAAATCAAACAGGAAGCCATCTTCACTCCTTCATTCTTCCTGCTATTTTTTGTTACCCCAGGATTTCTTTTGTTATTTCACTTCCTTTTTTCAGGAATGAACATATATTAATGTCACCAGCAACACAGGGAACACAGCAGGCTTGGTTGTGGGAGATTTCTGTTGCTTTGCTTGTACTTTAATGCTCAGCTTCAGAAAACAATGGGTTTTAGAAGCAAACATTTTTCCCTTTAACTGGTAACAGAACGAATATAAACAATTCTTCCCTCCTCGCCAGATCGAACAATGTTAAAGGAGAAAACGTGCTGCGCAATTCCTGTGAAAAGACCCTTTGGTGCAAAGAGTTCTCATCTCCGCTCCTGCAGCTCTGACTCACTGTCTGGGCGCATTTCCTCACCAACACACCACAAAGTCTTACTGTAAGAAACTGACACCATATTAGGAGCTGAGCTCCAAGCAGTCAACTTCAGTGGGGAGGTCAGAAATGCTCATAAAAACGTTCAAAAACTAGCAACTTCCATGTAACTTTGGGAAAATCCTGTAGGATTTCATTCAGCAGAATTTCCACAAAACCAGAGGTGGTGCTTTGTATGTTTGTTGATTAAAGCTCTGCTTCAGTGAACATGATGTTTGGATAAGAAAGCAGCTACATCTGAAGCATGTCCAGACCATAAACAGAACTTTACTCCTGAACATTGATCACAAGCAGGAATCCCAGAAAGACACAAATTCTGTTGGATCTTCACAAGAAAAGAACAACAAATAGGAAGACGGACTCCAACATCCTCCAGAAAAGGAAACATTTTATTTTTTAAAGAAAATAATGAGCTCAGGGACGTATGCTTTAGACAAGATAATTATTACTGAAAGAAAAGAAAAGAAAAAAAAAAAAAACAATATTCCACTTTTCAGTCTAATGTAAGTCGCTTGCTGAAAAAACAACAATATAGATAAAGCCAACTGCTTCTTATTCATCCCTTTAAACAGACCAGCTAATGTTGATAAAATGTCATATTCATTAAGCGTCCATGGAACATGTCGAGGGATTACCTGCATAAATTATGTATGCTTAGCGAGAGAAAGAGGCCAGCGACTGAAACGACCAACGACTGAAACTAAGCAGGATCACTTTAAAGCCATGGCGATGTGACGTTAAGTCTGATAATGAATTCAATTTCATACTTTAAAATCATCAATGCTTAAACACATCACTTCCATGCTATACTCTCTGTTACGTCTCCTGTTCATGCATATGTAAATATTTTAAATGCCTTTCATTTTTGATTATTGTAATTAATACCAATTTTTTTTACATTAAAAAGTCAGTGTTCCCTGTACGTCAATGAACTCATTAATAATTAACACATTCATTCAAAAAAAGTCATTTCTTTTTTACATTACAAACTTCCTTAAATCTATATTTTATTTCTTGAATATGATTGAAGATAAACCAGTTAATATCTAGGAGAAATGGTTTAACCCAATGTGGATGAAGTGGTTTCTATTAAACGACTCTTGCTGCCTGTTCCTGCAATACCATCTGTCGTTATGCCAGATGAACCCTCAGTGAACCACATGACCATACAACTTGTGCTAACAGTTTTTTTTGTTGTTTTTTTTTTTTAAAGGAAAAAAAAAAAAAATCACAGCATTTTTTTTTATTTTTTATATGCACCGCATTTAAAACTGTTTCATAGACTATGCATATTGTTTTGTGCACAACATGCCTTTGCAGACCTTTTCAGCTCTGGCGGCTGGCTGACATGTATAATACACATGAACATTCCGCTTTTTCATGGCAGTTATGACTCTTGCGACATCATACATAGTGCTATTTATGATTTTGTTGACATCTATTAAGTCATGGGTGAGTAATATTGTGCACCTAAAGGCAGTTTGTGGAAAAATGGTGCATATGAATCAAAGAAAAGACTGCAGCAAACCTTTCCCAAGGACATCAGGAGCTTATTCAGGATTGCAGCTGTAATTTCTGTGTTGCATTTATCTTTAGATATATAATGCTCTCATTTGAAGCACTTATTTAAAAAAAGGAATTCAATTGCGCTGAACAATTCTGATTATTACAGCCTGAAAATTAGCTGTAGCAGAGAAACTCATTTTGAAAGAAGTAATTATGTCAGAAATTAGTGCACAACATCAGCGTTCAGCTCATAAATTGGTGCGAATGTTATATTATAATAAAGAAAGAAAAGAGTCAGGGACACGGTTATTTCTTCTAATCAATACGGTTGTCACAGCTGCAGTAATAACACCATAATGACATACGATGCTGTGCAGTCTTTGCATAAATATATTTAAAAAAAAAACATCCCCATTCAAACTGCTTGAACACATTTTTACTGAAAACAATATTGAACTAATAGGAAAACAGCAGGCACGTTAAAAGCAACAAAGCACAGTACCAGCCCCATCGGCCTTCACATGAACCATGGGTGTTACATAAGAGATTGAGAAGATGTGTTTCGGATCAGCAGCTCCCTCCCATGCGTCATCTCTGATTGCTTTATTTCTGAATGTTGATTTTTTTTTTTTTACTCTCTCACCCAAAATGAAAAATAATTGAAGACAATAAAAAAATAAATATTCAATATGTCAGGGTTTAAAAACCAACCCCCACATTTTCTCCCAGGCACTGTGGCCATCAGTGACAAGGACATGTGGCACATTTCACAAGCTTGGGATGCGTGGACTGTGCACGTGAATGACTGGATAAGACACGTCAGGAAGCTGTGTGAATGGGGAACGATAACCAAGCATGTAAAGTAAACTGGGTCTTTAGTAAAAAACATGAAATCTCTCTGTGAGAGCAAATTAGAAACAACACTGGTAGACAATCCTTGCCTAGTAAACATAAATGTTTTAGGATTTAAATGTTCCAAACTAATATTTCATATATAAAACAAACAAACAGTATTTGCCCTTATAGCATAAAATGATGAAAATGATCTAATGACTTTTCAAGGTTGATATCTAAAGTTAGATATCTTCTAAACCTCATGAGACTGTAAAAGTCAATCTTGAATCAACTTAATCGGAGGAATATGACCAGAGGCAACACTATCTCTCTATTTAACCTAATTGTAAAAAAGGAAATTGTTTTGACTCATTAGAACAGTGACTGGATTCACACAGTGCAAGAATGAGATCCCAGCTGCTGCTTTGTGGCAAAGGAACCTGAATGACCCCAAGAGTAACGTAAGAATTCAATCCGACCGGCTTAAAAGTCAAGGTGAAAAAAGCATCAATCAATTCACGAGAGATGGTCCAAGATTACTTTTTATGCAGTGTGTATCATGTGGGACCACAGAGAAAAAAAAAGTGTGCCATCTGTGTGTTTGGGGCTCTGACATACCTGATGCGTGACCATGAGGGAGCAGGAGGAAGAGGAGGAGAAGTGCAGAGGCAGCCAGTCTGTGGGCTACAGAGGAGGATGCGGCACCAGAAGAGGAGGACGGGGCTCTCGTCGGAAACGCTACCATTCCATCGCTCATCTTTTCCTCCGACAACCAGCGAGAGTCCTCTACGGCTTAACCTGTCCGGGCAACATTTACAGGAAGGGACATGGGGGAGGGGGAGGAAGAGCGTGGATTATCATCATTATTTAGCCAGGATTATGTAACAAGAAGCAACACAGGCAAAGAGAGGGGAATCGGGAGAGACAGCTAAACAGTGTGTGTCAGAGACAACTGCATGCCTAGAGTTTGATATTTATTTCCCAATAACTTTAAGGATAGGTGCATTCCTCACCTATGAGTTTTATAATTACTAAACACAAGCCACAGCACAATCGAACTGAGTGTTCTTCTCATTTTGCCTCAATCCCTAATCTTTGCTTTGGCACAGAATCTATCTGCATAAGCCCTTAGGTACACTATGTCGTATATGACGCAACAACACAGATCAGTGCAGCTAATGAGGTGCCAAAAGGCAGCTCGAGGGGACGGGCAATATTGGAATGTATATTACACCCAACTTTGGCAAGAATATTCTGGCAGAGACAGGAAAAATAAAAAGTACAAAATGTTCAGTAGACTACATTTGATTGTAACCCTGCCAAGAGGACTCAGTTCACAATCTTTTATGTTTTTTTTTTCTTTTCAACTTTAAACTAAATTTTCAAAAGATTTTAAATGTAATGTTAAAACATTTTAGCTCTGTCAGCTCCATAATCTTTGCTGCAGGCTTATGGTGCTGAAGAGTTTAATGAATAGAAGCAACATTTAAGAGAACAGCAGGGAGTGCTGGCTGCTTTATTATTCCTGTTATAATCTTTTACAGCCGTTATAAACCAGTGGTATCGGTCTAAACAGTTTCACTTTTGTTTCTTTCGATGATCACTTTAGACCATGACCATGTTGTTTTGTGGCTTATCTCCAGGCTCTAAAGTTTTTCAAGTTGAACTGGATTCGTTTAAAAATCACATAGTATATAAAAATTAAAAACCTGAGAAAAAAAAAAAAATTCAACTGTAAAAATTCTGAACGGACAATTTCTGTCAAGAAGGAAGTGAAATTTCTGGAACTGCGAGTCCCCTACATTCTCTTCTCCCGCAATTGAAAGTAATTGTGGTCATAAAACCAACCAACTATAACAAAAAGGGAAGAAACTCATTCCAAATCTAGTTCAATAAATGACAAGCAAAAAAAAAAAAAAAAAAAAGATTTATAAAGCGTTACTGTGACTCTCCAAATGGTGTGTTCACACCAGAGGCGATTCCAGCTAATTGTCCATGTAATTTGCATGCTGTTGCTTTCTTGATATTTTGCCAGTGAGGGAAAAACACTTCACCTCATCAAGAAATAGAAGGAGCTTCAATCCGTAGTTTGCAGGTTCCAACTAAACATGGCGGACCTGTATTTCACCAAGCTTTATTTATTCATCATGGAAAGGAAAACCTAACCTACAAAGAGTATTCCTTACTTTATCATGTCAATTTAAACTTTATTATTTTCAATTTTGAAAAAAGAAAACAACTAAAAAAAGAAAAAAAACAAAACAACTTTGCTTGCGATACAAAAAACAAACAAAAAAACATGTTCAGAAGATCCTGCATGCTTCCAGGAAAAGTTCACTCAAGAGAGGGCAGAGAGCTCATTACCATTCTGAAAGGCTAAAGTATTAAGGCCAACATTAATGGCATGTTTTTACTGTAGGCTGATTCCCATAGGTCATAACACCTGCTAATGCCTGGCTTTGGAGTGCAAGTGTGAAGTGGTGAACTGTCAGTCAGTTGTACTTCAAAGAATTCAGCAGTAACAGATACCAAACATATCCTGATCACTTTTACATTGAGGTGAACAAGTCATCCAGGTGCAAAGGCTCCTTTTCACTCAAGTTGCTGAGCTTCAGGCGGGAGGAGTGATCAAAGCTCTCAGATTCTCCACTGAGAAGCCTATTTGGATCGGTCACATGGAGGCTGTAAAAATGACAACAACAACTGGTGGAAGATCCAGTCAGCTGGCAGCCAACAGCTGTGCAAGGTGAACATGGTAATAAAGTAAAAAGTAACAAACTAGCCTCCTTTAATGCAAGCAGGTACTACTTTAAGTTATTATGTGATCCAAACTTAACGGACTACAACACAAAGCAGAGTTTGGTTATATAAATGTATTACAGCATAAACTCCACGTTCTGCAGCTTTTTACCAATTTATTTTCACTATCATCCCTCTCATTGGTCAAGCAAAAGCCTGAGTCTTTAGTGAAAACTTTAGATCCAAAATACAGCCGCTGTCAGTAAGAGTTCCTTTGATTGTGTCAAATATTGCGATCTCATTAAACAATGTTGGTATGGATTCAAAATCTGGCTGCTTGGGTCTTAAATGTAAAAATTATCTGTAGAGAAACAATTATGCAATTGTCTTACTTTTATACACGTTTAAACCTTCAGCCAGTAGTTGGCAGCAGAACAACCAAGAGCCTACAATTCATCTGCTCACCACTAGTAACAGGAGAGCAGCAACATCTGAGGTTTTTCAAAGCTACATTATTAGAAAAGTAGCAACAAATTTGTTGTTAATGTATTGTGATGAATTTTATCATGACAAGTATAGCAATGCCAAAGTCTTGCCAAATCACACCCCTGGTTTTATTTTCTTGTCATATTTTCTTGAGTTTCTAAAGCATTTTAAGAGAAAGTTAAAGTATTTACTGTATTTTTGGGACTATAACCCTTTTTTACCTACACTTTGAACCGTGCGTTTATGCAAAGGTGCAGCTTGTCTGTGGATTTTTCTTCAACCGCGAGAGTGCGGAAGTCAAAGTTGGAAATCAAAGCAAAAAAGCACTTATTCCAATTTAGTATAAGCACATGCGAGCAGCAGGCATGACAGAGAACAAATGTCCCAAATTGACACAATTTGAAAGTGGGAACAATGTGCAGAACTTCCTGCAGAACTAAAAAAAGAGCTGGCAAAGGCCCATCTTTCATAAAAAGCTTTTACTGCCGCAACCTACAGGTTTTGTGGGGGACAGTTCATTAAATGTCCGCAGCTTATAGCCCGATACTGCTTATACATGTACGTTTCCAGTTTTCTTTAAAAAAATGAAAAAATAAAAAAAATGCTGTCAATGTGACTTATAGTGAGGTGCGCTCTATAGTCCCAAACATATGGTAGTATAAAAATAACAAGGAAAAATCCATATTTTAGACAGCAGTTATTTGTGTGTATTTTACATACATTTACAACATGCTTTTTGAGAACAACATGGTGCAAATTCAATCCATCTATTGTTTTATGTACCTCAACAGCCAGGTTTTCATAAAACAATAATAGAAACTGAGAGCTGCTTGGTTGATATTTCCTGATGATCAGGTAACGCTCAAAATAAAATTGGGCATAATTGCCTTTGCTACTTAATAGTTATTCATACTCAAACCGAACATGTTATTTTACAACAATCAAGACTGACCCACTCAGAAGACAATATAAATCTATCTCTATATACAATAATAACCTACAGTGATGGCAATAGCAAAGGCAATATTAGTTGATGTATAGGACTGTTTTCATATTTTTCTCTCTTTTTTATCTGTGCTTCCACAACTTTGTGAGGATGAGCTTCTATAAGAGTTCAACAGATTAAATATTAAATTACCAGGAAAGAAAACACAAGTTCAGAATGTTTAAGTTAATCAACCTCTTTCAGACATGCACAGAAACAAACAAATATCAAATTAAACCAATATCCTTACTGCAATTTAGCTTTGATATTCCCATAAGCAGAATGGACGCCTACCTGCTTGTGGTGCATTATAGAGGGAAAAAGTGACGCAAGTCCGTTTTGGCAGGTCAATTTAGGTAGCGTATTCAGCCAGAGATCAGGTGGTCATGAGCACACACAAGGGACCTGAGCAAGCTCTCTGATGCATTGATATTTCCTGGTTTGTCCATGCTGCAATTAGTCAACAGAGCTTACTGGTGTCTGAGTTATAAAAAGCCTTTGCTGTTTTAAAAGATGTTCATCATAACCACAACTTAGTGACTGTAAACATCAACTTACGGTAAAAATACTGCAGGATTTAGACCTTGGAAAAAGCATTGACCAGCCAGTTCATCAGAAAAATCCTGACTAAAGCAGAATTACTTTTGCTTTCATGAAAAACCCTTACCTATTCTAGACTAATGCAGTTATTCAAAAGAGGGTTTGCAGATCCTTTGGTTTGCTGACTATATGTTACTGTTGTAAATTAATTAATATCCCAGCAAGCAACTTCCCAGCAAAAGCAACTGCCTGCTTCAGGTTTCTGATATAATTCTAACCTGCAGCTGTATGGGTTTCCTGTCAGATACAGATAGTAATGCTGAACATGGCACATCACATTAAAGTGTGTCTTGCTATATAAAACAAAAAAGCCTTTTTTCCCCCACAGAGTATTTTGGATTACAATTTTCTGTGGTTTTAACAAATGACTTTCAAAGATTTAACATTGAGGGAAAAGAAAAAAAAAAAAAGGGATTTCAATGGCTGAACATGCAAAAACAATGAAGAACCAAAGCACTGCATAATGGGTGTTGCTGCTACAGAAAAAAGAACATAACTTCCTTGTTTCATAACTAAATTTGTCCTCACCAGGGTTGGTGGATATGTAAAATAGTGCAACATGCACATGAGGGAAAGAGAGACTTAAATGTATTCAGTAGTGCCCCACCAATGTTATATAACAAAGTTTAGTTGCATGTGTCATCTCTTCTACATACACTGAAACTTTGGCAGCAACTGCCACAACCTGCCATGCAGCTACTAATCAGATCTGGCCTCACCAGTTTTACTTTACTACAATGTTCTGATGTACATCTAGAAAAATGTAAGAGCTTCAGTGATGACTAAACATTAAGACATCAATTAAACAAATAAATAGTCAAACTAATAGCATTTAAGAAATCTGAAAAATATAAAAGACAGCTGCCTAAAATATATAAACAAATAAATAAAAAGCAATGCAACTCCCCACTTCAACACAAGCAGCCAGCCAGCAGGCTGCTACTGCAGTTTTTCAGCTGCCTGAGGCTCCTGGAATGCAAAGGGAGCCAAGGAGAGCAGCAGCACAGACATGTGTCCGGGAACAGAGAGCCCTCATTGTGCCAAAGAAACAGCCAAGAGAAGGTTTCTACCCAATAGGACCCAAGCACTACTGCTGCTGGTAGAGCCTCCGTAGCCCTGTGGAGGGAGCCCAGAGGCAGAACTCTGCATGGCAGCAGAGAAAGGACCCTTTGTTATGAAGTATTATGTGCTGTTAAGGCCCAGGGCTACCCAGCATCCCCTCTACTGCTGCTATGAAGAGACAGAAACACACAGCCAGGTAAAAAAAAAAGGTGATAAAAAAAAGGACCGGAAAAAAAAAACATTGTGTAGGAAATATAAGACGAATGAATAAAAGAATAAGAAAGTATCAAAAACTGAATGGTGCATGGAGGGCACCTCTTCCAGCAAGCCAGAATAAAAATAATATTAAATATGGAGAACATTTAAAGTTAGTAAATTTTCCCACAATCAATCTCACAAGTGTGAATGAAATTTTATTTGCTAGTCATTGTTATACCCTGACGTTACAATTTTATGCTTGCAAACCAGGACAGAAAGATAACACAGCCACCCACTGTATATTAACATTCATAAGTCTAAAATAAAGTATAAAGAAGAAAAAAATCTTTTGACCTGAAACCGCTTGTTGGTTAGCAAGACGACTATGAAAAATCTTATCTCAAGATATGTGGCAAACGAACTGGATGAAGACCGACATTTACCTCACTATTGAGTACTTGTCAAATACACTCACCGGCCACTTTATTAGGTACCCATGCTAGTAACGGGTTGGACCCCCTTTTGCCTTCAGAACTGCCTCAATTCTTCGTGACATAGATTCAACAAGGTGCTGGAAGCATTCCTCAGGGAGTTTGGTCCATATTGACATGATGGCATCACACAGTTGCCGCAGA